GGACCCCACTAAAGGTTCACAAGAGGGAATGCTATTTGTTTTTTTTAAAAGCAACTCAAGTAAGTATATCATATTTGTATGTATTTGGAATATTTTCAGAAGAATCCATTAAAATTGCAACAATGATTGCTCTGGGGATGGTTCTGGAAATTGGAAACAAAAATTGCTCTGGAGAGTGGGGCTAAGAATCACAGATGAGAAGAGGAATTTCATTTTACCAGATGATCACTTGTATCATTTGGCTTTTTACCATGTGCAAATATTACCTTAAAAGATTACACATTGAGGATGGTGATTACCAATTGACATTTGTTGAATACCGACTACAGCTCAGTCACTATTAACTGGTGTTTGACTCTAAAATCTCATTTAATCTTCACAACAGACTTATGTGAAACCCTATTTTACTTAAGGGAAAAAAGACTCAGGTAATATCAGTCACTCTCCAGGTTTACACAGCTGATAAATGGCAACAGGGGGAACTGAATGCAGTTCTTTTTGATTCCAAAACCACAGGCCATATTGTACTGACATCAAATCTTACAAAGGAATCAAATTTATAAGACAGTAGCATTGGGACTACTTTTAAGATGAAGAAATATGGTGAAATCCAACAAATGAATGGATCTTCCTCCACCTGAGTCTCCTTGTAAAGGTTGTATACACACGCCTCCAATGGCTACTGAGCATCAAAGATATCCCTTGCCCTGTCCTTCCCCGGCACTGGAGCACTCACTCCAAAGGTGGGGCTCTTTTCACGGAAGCACTCTAAATGGGGGGTTTCGGGGTTGATGTGAAATAGCTGGTCAATATCTAACTTTCCTAAGCATACAGAATCTTCATTTATTTAACAATTATCATTCCGTGATCACTCTGAGCCAACATCTTCTTAAGAATTAGAATTATAGAAGTGAACAATGTCCTTGTCACCACAAAACACCTACACTGGCATGAAGAGACAGGCAACAAACTAATAAGTAAGTAAATAAACATAACACTTGATAACTAGAATATTAAAGAAAATTAAAATAAACTGTTGTGATAGAGTGGCTTGGTGGCTGCCTCTTGGGTCAGCAAGAAATGTCTTTCTGGGAACATGATGTTTACATAAATCACAAGAATGGGACACATATGGCCTAGGAGTCGCTGTCCTACAAAACAAGCACAGGTTCCTTCTGTATACTCTGGATCTCACCCCAATTTCCATTCCAAGCTCCTCTTTAATTTACAACATGCATTTGTAGCCCCAGAAGTTAGAGTTGTGAAGTATCTAGAAGTCCTCTTAGTCTCATGCTGTCCTTTTAGAGATGTAGAAAGACAGATCAAGAAAAGTGAAGTAAGGATTGGAAGTGGTGCCTCATGTCTACCACTCAAGAAGTAGAGACAGGAGGACTGTAGTCTGAGATAGCCCAAGCAAAAAGTTAGTGAGACCCTTGTCTCAACTAATAAGCCAGGCATGGTGTTATACACCTATGATCCCAGCTAAGCAGGAGGTGTAGATAAGAGCATCTCTGTCCAAGTTCGCCTTGGGCTAAAAGCAGGAGACCCTAACTAAAAAATAATGAAAGCAAAAAGAGGGATGGGGTGTGGCTCAAGTGGCAGAATGTTTGCTTAGCAACTACAAGGCCCTAAACTCAAACTCTAGTAAAACACACACACACACACAAGTGAAATGAGCAGCACACAATAGTTAGTGACCAGAGTAGCAGCTCTTAGTCCATGTTTATTTCCACAAGTCCAGATTTCTTTCCTGATTATTTTTTCAGTATCCATCCTGAATACTCACCCTGATGACTACCTCTTTGGGGTCCAGAGATGCCAAGTCCTCACAGACTTCAAAGGACCTATTGACAGCATTAGGAACCTTAAGAATGATATCCTGTGGGCCAGGGTAACAGTGGGGTCACAGCAGAAGAAAAAATACAACTTGTGGGGCAAATGCCCTTGCATCCCAGCCATACCCTGGAGTCATGTCTTCCTTTCCTGTGAACGACCCTAACAGGGCCTCTGAGTTAGGGGACACTGCTTGCCTATGTAAACTCAATGAACACTAAATATCTCTCCTAAGAAATGTTCCCTGGTTTAACCAACTTGCTCTGAAAATGTTCTGTTCTATGATCTCAACCCTTTTCCAAATGCTTTATGAAAAAGATTAACCACTGAATTTCTTTAAATAGCTAGCTCCTTCAGTACATTTAAAATATGATCTATAAAAATTCAATCTACATAAACATGTTTATTTTAAAACAAACAGCTATTGTATCAAAGGCAATAGCATGAACTTGGATTTTTAATGACAGATTTTGGACTGTCTTGCTTAATGGTTCTCATTCACTGTACAAGTATTTGCTTTATGCAATGCATACTTCCAGGTTGCTGTGAGGACACAACAATGGAAATACACAGCCTTGGCCATCTGGGAGCATGCATGCATGCATGCATTTCCAACACACAGCAGGTATGAGGAGGCTGCAACAGAATTATGGACCCAAGCTGCCAGGGACAAGGGAGCAAGACATTGTATCACAGACAAGAATCAGGGAAGGAGGCAGCAATATTTTACTTGGGCTTCAAAGGGTGCTTATGATTTGCATAATTATGTAATTCATTCAGGAAACAGCATGACATGCTGTACAGGAGGTGGGACATATTAGAGGACACTCTCAGAACACAAATGAAAATGAAGAGGAAGAGAAGATGGGAAGGATGGATAAAATGTAGACTGGATCCACAAGCCATAGAATTCTTGAGTGAATCTTGGGTAGAGAAAGAATATATGTTGTGTTTTAGGAAACTCATGCGTTGATCTGAATGGATAAAGACTGATATCAGGGACAAGGAGGCCCATTTGAAAAATTATCCCATGGTTCCTGGACCATATTTAAAGTAAGGAATAAATCTGAGAGCTAGAATAAAAGTAGAGGCTAAGAATTCAAACCCCAGAGAGAGGGTTTAGCTATGGAAAGGAACAGGGCCCATAGGACTCAGATTTCAGCCTCGGGAAGAGAGGTGAGCAGGCCTGTGAGTGGTATCTCTTTAAGGACAGTTTTGAGATGCCTCCTGCTTGAGACAGTAATCATGAACCCAGTGCATAACAGCTACCCCAGCTGGACATCTTCTGATCCACACATGAAGTCTTGGTTATTAATAACTCCTCTTCTGGAGATATGCAGAAGTGCCTGTTGTACATGAGGAGCCTGAACACTTGTGAAATTATGGTGTGTCTGTAGCAGCAGTGAAAAGTAGCTTGATTGGGGTAGAAAGCAGGAGTCTGGGGACAACCATCTCTGATCAAATGATAACTCAGTGGAGGGAGGGCAACTTTAATCAGGACCCATTTAAGCTTTAGGGCTATGCCTGAATGACAGCAACTACGTGACAGACTGAGGTTTTTCAATACAAAGAATCAGGTCTTGGGTTCCACTATTTGAGCCTACATTTCCAGTTCACAGGTACCATTCACATATCTAGCTGTCCGAGGCTCTCTATGACAAGACTGTGAATTTCAGAGAGGTTGTCTCTGGCCTCTTTTCCTGGCTACTTGCTCTAGAAATCTCTTGGTGCTATAGATTAGATCTTAAATGTCCTCTGATATCCATATGCTACAGGCTTGGTTGCCAGTCTATGGTGCTACAAAAGGTGATAAAACCTAGTTGGAGGAGGCTAAGTCACTGGGTGCATGTCCTCAAAGGGGATATTGGGACCCAGGTCCTTCCTCTTTCTTCGCTTCCCAGATACCATGAAGTGAACAGGCCTCTTCTGCCACATGCTCTCACTATGATGTTTTGCCTCAGCACAGGCCCAAATCAACAGTGCCAAATGACCATGACTGAAACCCCCAGAATCACAAGCCAAAATGAAACTTTGCCTCTTACATGTTGCTTTTTCTCAGGTATTCTATCACAGTAATGGAAAGCTGATGGGCACACTTGGTTTCTGCTCTAGTCAGAACCATGCTGACATTCTGAAACTTACTTTCAGCCCACTAGCCTATGGAATCTATGTACCTGGTTTTAAATCAGTTTCCCAAAGAGCATTTCATGGAGTAGGAATACTGTGGTCAAAGGTGACTTGCAGTGAAATAGTTTTGGGAAGTGCCACATTAAATAAAATTAAAATTTTCTTTGCTATAGGGCATCTGTGAACTTTCAAATGCTAATATGTTCTGAGACTCTCTTGAAATGAGAAGGAGTAGGTAGCATTTCCCCATCTTATTGATCTGCAGAACCATTTTTCAAAGTGTACTAAGGGACAATTGCCAGCAGAACACACCCGAAGAAAAATAAGTGATGGCATTACTCTGTGGGACACTTACATTTAACTAGAAATCTGAAATAACAATTAAAGCTAATACTTATCAGTTGCTCACTGCAGGCCAGGCACCTTTTCTAGTTCTTTCAGATATAAACACAGATCCTTATACCTGTGATGGGCTTAGATTATTAGTTCAACTTTATAGATGAGGAAACTGTAGCTTAGAGTAGTTAAAAGATTTGTCTAAGATTCTACGTAAGCAAGTTGGTGAGTAGCAGAGTCAGTCTGACACCATCAGAAATGAATATCTAAGGACAGAATTTCAAACACTCTGATCTCTTGCTGCCAGCAAGATCCTTCATGGCAACTTTTCAGTCACAGTAGACTAGGCTTTGTGTCCAGATACTATTGGGGAATGACATCGGAATTATACCATCTATCTATTTGGTCTTCTCACCAAATTATGTTATATTGCACACATAGAGCCTTGCATTACAACAAAGTCAGCATTACAGCTACCAACAATAAAGAGAGATAGATGCTCAAAGAAAACATCCCCTTGATTAACCTACGTAGCAAGAACATGAAGGTGCAAGTTTGAGACTTGGCTTTTCCTATTTTCAAAGTTTTGACCTCTTGCTCTCCACATCTAGGAATGAAGACCAAGGGACCATTTCCTTCTAATGTTCTGTAAAGTTTTATAGCCCTTCCCCTTTGCCCAAGAATTGTGAAAGACCATGTCCTACCCTCTCCCACTTCCTCTCCTTGTTCAGAAGGATGATCACCAGCTTCGGGTGCATCTGGTATCCATCTTCACTGAAGGACAGATTTCTCCCCTCAAAAGTGACATTGATCAGGTACCTGTAGAGATAAAATAAAAGAAAGATTAAAAACACGAAGAAGGTATACCAAGAATAAGATATGAGAGAAACAGAGAGAGGGTGGATGGAGACAGACCAGTGTCAAGATACTCAGATACCGTAAGAAAAATCAGAACTCCTCAGACTCCATCTGATTATGCAATTGAGTTACCAAGCTTTTACCTAATAGTAATCATGTGAAAAAAAATAATATAGCCAGGTGCTGATGGCTCACACCTGTAATCCTAGCTACTCAGGAGGCAAAGATCAGGAGGATCATGGTTCGAAGCCAGATGAGGCAAATAGTTCCATGAGACCTTATCTTGAAAAAAACCCATCATAAAAAAAAGGGCTGATGGAGTAGCTCAGGGTATAGGTCCTGAGTTCAAGCTTCAGTACTACAAAAAAAAAAAAAGCAAGAAAGAAATTATATAACTTAAAATAAGGGCACTTGGTTTGAGTTCAGTCTATAGCTCTGACTTTGAGCAACTTATTTAGCTGCCTGAACCTCAAGGTTTTTTCCCAATCTTCAAAAAGGAGGATGCTAAAAGGACCTACATACTCCATTAGGTTTGTAAAATTTAAATGGAATAAGCAGGGTGAATACTTACCAAAGGCGCCTGGTGCATAGTAAATGCTCATTAAGTGTTAACATTTATTATTCAAAAAAAAAAAAAGGAAGCAGAATAAAAGGGCAGAGGACAAGAAAAGAGTGGATGTATACCAAGACAACTTTCTGCTAAGAAAGGTGGTCTGTAGGAGCTTAGGGTCTCTCTCTCCCCGCCCCAGATATTCACAAACTTTTTAACTCTTACTAAGGTCTTGGCTAGCCCCTATTTCTGAGAGTTGTCAGATGAGTCCAGTACACAGGGATCTGGTACCACAGGACACATCTAGAAATCAAGGATATTGTCCAGTGCATAATGAACAGAAAATACCTGAGGGTGGATAAAGTACAAGGAAGAATTTAACAGAGTTCTTTGGGACATGAGCATAAACTAGTAGAAACTCTGGAGATAACTAAAGTCAGATCAATGAGATAATCTTCCTGCTGGACACCTATAGCTGAGTGACCCCATTCCCCAGCTGGCTGCTGTGATCTGATGAGCAGCTCCTTCAATGGGGATTCCCACAGATGTGCTCATTACAACTGTATTAGTGCAAGTGGACTGATAGTAATTAATGTCCTTTACTCTAATGGCCCAAGGAATCAATAATGATTAGCTCTGCGCTCACATGACAGGCTACTCCAGAGGTTTGGGCCTGATGCGGCTTGTGAGATGTGTCCCTGCTAAGAAGCAAAAGGAGCAGCTTGGAACAGCAGTGGGAGGCAACTTAAAGGTCCTCTTTCAACTATTCCCATTCAGTGAAACTGAGAGACTCCTTGATTCTCTCAGGTAACATTAGCTTAAACAGCCAGGTGGCAAGAATGTATAACCTTTCAGCAATTATAAAGATACCTAGGTAGAATGAACAAATCCCTGTGGATGACATCTCACTTGTAGAGCTGTCTGGGATGGTTAAGTCTGTCATTCCCCCTGGTCTTGTGTAGCTCCACAAATGCAACCCATAGTACAGAGGACCCCCAAAGAGTAGGCTCCTAGAATTTTAGAACTGAAAGAGACTTTATAATCAACTAGCCCACCAGTTACTGCACTTGATGCTTCCCCTCTAGTGCATCATTCAATTGGTCCTCTGCACTCTTCCTGAATACTTCTATTGATGCTCACAAAATCCTTCACCTCCAGGCAGCCATCTCACAGTTGGGCAGTTATGTCTTATTTAAAACTGAGTCCTGCTCTTTTACAATTCATTAATACTTGTTTCCTTTTTAGATATTTTAGTTTTAGTGTAATCCTTCTTCCACCTGAAAGTGTTTCAAGTATTTGAAGACATTTCTCATGTATCCCTTATAAAATCAATTTTAATCTTTAAAGAAATCCAAAGCACAGAAAGACTAAATTATTTTCCCAATATTACGTAAGGATTGGGAATCAGAAGTAACATTTTAAGCACATCCCCAGCCTTTCTACCATACCATCTGGTTCTCATAGCAGCATCAGGGTGGACATCCCCTATGCCTTTGCATAGTCACCATATTCCATAGCTTCAAGTTCCCTCCTCTCTCTCAGCACCTCCAGTCGGTTGGTGTAGCACTCCTGATCTGACTCAAGGCTCTACACAGCATCTTCTCTGTCCCTTGCACTGTCTCCTTTCAGGTCAGCACTGCTTGCCCAAGCCCATCAGTAGTTTGAAGATAAAATCCAGGTCCCCGTTAGATTACAACAACTTCAATCCTCCCAAAAGCTCTGCAGATTTCATTCTAAGGAACTTAATTACAAAACTATAAGACAAAATATTTTAAACTAACAAACCATGGTTTAAGAACCCAACATCATTAATTTGGAAAACGCATCCTTACTATGACAATAATGGATGATTTAGTATAATTTCTGAAGGGCTCCCACATTTTTGAAAGGAAGAAAGGAATGAGGGAGAGAGAGAGAGAGAGGGAAGGAGAAAGGGAAAAAGAAGGAGGGAGGGAAGGGGGAGAGAGTAAAGAAGAAAAAGAAGAAGCAGAGGAGGAGGAAGAAAAGGAAGAAACTAAATTACCCAGCTTAAGCACACATCTTTTCATCAGACATGGCTCTGAATAATTCTGTCTAAAATGCCATAAAAAAACATTTAAAAGGAACTGTCCATGGCAGAAGGCAATTAATTATAAGAGAGAAGTTCCAGAAATAATTCAATTAATAAGTAGAATGAATAGAATAAGGACATAGACTTTCAAGGTGACTTCTTTGAAGGGGTCAGCATTGAATTGGGTGTACAAGTTGAAAATTTTGAGATTTCAGGAAATAAATCAACTGATGGTCTGTAGTTAATTATTTTTGGTTATTCTGTTCCAGATCCTCCTGATTTGCTTTAGAAATTGTTCTCTTTCTGGAGTGTTCTCCCTCTTCCAGCTCTGCAAGTTTATTTTGTATACCTAAACACTGCTCAGATAGTTTACACTTAGCAAAAATATTAATAATATTCATAACAAAATATTCCTCTCCAAAGTATCTTTTAATCATTTGTATCCTTTTCACCATCCTTTGCTTTTTTTTTTTTCCGAGTAATTCCCTATGATATGACACCATTTAGCTACTAGTGAGGGGCTTACAAATAAATACCAGCCTTGAGCAAGGATGCCCTTTGAACAACAGAACAAACCAATCCATTCCCTGATAATGAAAAGTGTGAAAAGATAATTGGGGTGTGATCACTTCTAGACATGTGACCTTGCCATCTGAATCTCAGTTATTCCTCTTTGGAACGGGGCATCATTTTTATCTCCAGTTTATCAGACAAGGGTGTTATGGGGAACAAATGAAAGAGTGGAGAGAAAAACAGATAAAATGTGATACAAATAAAAGTTCATACAACAGGAAACAGTCATAAAAGTAATATATTAGCAGATTTGAGTATTTAAAGAAAAGAAACTTGCTTAGGTTTGAACCTCAGTGAATGAAAGTAACTTTGTTTTAACAGGTTCACTTACCAAGGGAATATATCCAAGGAAAGGAAATTGGAGTTGACATGTGGAGGTTAACTAGGTCATATTAATCCATTTGACTTCCATAAGACCTGAAATTATCCAGGTATCCCTGGATCTGGCTGTCCTTCGTCAAATTTGAATATTAACTAAAACAATAAAGCTTCAATGTGTAAATCCTGGATAAAGGATTAAACTACAGTTAAAGAGTCAGAGATCCCATAGTCACTTTACATTTCTCTAAACATGTCACCTTCATGTACACAGCACAAACCCTAGCTTCAAGTGACCATCAAATTAAAAAATTCTCCCCAATAAGAGTCCCATCCTCTGGAGGCATCATTAAGGTCTGGCATATTTTAAGGTTTAATATGTTTTGGATTTGTCTCTAGAATGTACTTTGACTTCTGAGAAACCCAATAGCCTAACTCATAAAGTTCTCCTATTACATAGAATCTGAGATTGCTAGAACTAGAAGAAAAATTAGAAATTATCCATTGAGAACCTTTATTTTCAAGAGGGGAAAACAGTTGCAAAGATGCTAAATGACTTCCCCAAGTGATTTTCCTGTTCATAACTGGAGCTCAAGCTTGATGATTCTCAGTTCTGTACCTTTTCAAGACATCATCAACTGAAGCAAAATCAGTTTCTTGAAGCTCCTGATGTGCATTTTAGCATTCTGATGTCACATGTCACGTCCTGAATGACATAAATCCCTACCTAGTACAGAGTGAATAAAATAAGACCCATTTCATTTCTTGCTGGACTCCTTGTCGAGAGAGAGCCTCAGAATCCAGGTGGGGCCAGAGCCAAAATATTTGCTTTATATGGCTAAAGTCACACTCCACTGTGCTTAATGGAGTCAAGCTGAGGTTAACAAGCTTTGTGCCTTCTTGACTTTGGCTATCCTCTGCACCACACTGATATCTAAAGCAATGATTTAGCAGTATGCCCTGGGTGGGAGGCACCTGAAAGAGTTCTGCAAGAATTTTATCACCAAACCAAGAGCACCGGCACCACAGTACTTTTCTACCCCCTACACTTCTCATGAAGCACTAGATTTTTAAAAAAAAAATTATCAATTAATGTTGTAGTGATAGAGACATTGCACCTCATCTCATCCAATCTTTTCATGTTCAGATGAGACAGATGAAGTCCACAAGATTTTTGTGGCTTTACCAAGATCAGATGACAGGGTTGGGAATATTCTGGACAGGGATGTCCAGAATACTGGACAGGTTGTTCTCAAGCCCTGTCCAATATTCTCTCCTCTCATCTCCATGCCTCAAAAATGGTGGTAATATTTCAGTGCTCCCGTTTCAGTTCTCCAGCTTTAAGAGGTTAAGGGAATATAATGGAGGGTGTGAACTTGTTCAAAGTGCAATATACACATCTATGGAATTATCACAATGAAACCCCTTTTTACTATTAAGATATGCTAATAAAAAGCAATAACAAAAAAA